GGAATGATTAAAGTTAATCAAGTATTGGCTTATGCCATGATTATATATAAAACAAAGTTGAAAAGCATGTTTTGTATGTTTGGTGATTACAAATGTGATAACTTATTATGTACAATGATCCAGGGGTCAAAAATGGTATTTTTGGATCAAGGACTTCAAGTAGATTATGCATGTAAAATTTCACGTTAATCGGACTCCGTTTGGGCGGTCAAACGGGCGTTGACCGCCAAGTCTACTACAATACCCGACCGGGTGTCTGCTGAGAAATTGGCCCCAAGGGCCGCTGTCTCCTATACCCGATCGAGTATGGATAGATACTCGATCGAGTATGCCTTGAAAATTAGCCTTTTGGGCTCCTGTCTCCTGTACTCGATCGAGTATTGATGGGTACTCGATCGAGTATTGGGTTATACTCAAAACGGGTAGTTTTTGAGTAGGTTAACGTGGACCGATCAGGTGGGACCCGTCCATGTTGGTTACTAAGGATTATTATATGACTATAGGACTAGGTATTGTCCATAGTTAAGTGAATGCAAGGTTAGCCATATCCAGGTTAGGGTTTGGTTAGAAATAAGGTTGAGGTTGAGTATCCTCGGGACGGTAAATGATCCTAAAACTCGGTTGAGGTTGAGCATCCTCGGGACGGTAAATGATCCTAAAACTCGGTTGAGGTTGAGCATCCTCGGGACGGTAAATGATCCTAAAACTCGGTTGAGGTTGAGCATCCTCGGGACGGTAAATGATCCTAAAACTCGGTTGAGGTTGAGCATCCTCGGGACGGTAAATGATCCCAAAACTCGGATGGGGTTGAGTATCCCCGGGAGGGTTAACACTCCTGAAACTCGGTAGGATATTATGAAGGTAGAATGTAGCTCTTAAGCTAGGCATTCAGGAATGAAAGGGGAAAGGTTGGGTGAGTACCTTGTCTCTAAAAGACTCTTTTGTGAGAAAATGACCTACGCGGGTCAAGTATTTTACAAGTATATACACTATGTATTATCTTGGGAATGGGGTGACAATGGTTACACCTATAAATATATGTATCATCCTATTTTTGGGTCTCGTGTCTGAGACATTAGTTATTCCTCATATAGCCTGCTTGTCACTAGTACTTCTATGGAGTACTGACCCCTTCGGGGGCCCTCACATTTTTCAGGTTGAGGCTAGAGTCCTGCTACCTGCACCTTTGCCCAGGGTGAACTCAAATAAGGAAGACGTGGTTCGTGCTTCCATTCTTATTTGAAATTATGAAATTGCTCATGGATATTTGAACGATGTTTTCTATTAAACTATTGAAGGGCCTGCGTGCTCATGTTTGCCACGTGTGGCTAAATGTCAAACATATTTTATTTCCGCATTTGTTTGATTTATATATTGATGTTGATTGTATGGGTTTACTAATCGGTTTGGCAATAGAATCTATCGGACGCCTTGTATGATTTGATAAGAATGAACTACGTTGTTCTTATTGGGTTGTACGGCGGTTGTCTACGTGGCACGGATGCGGTCCGGGGCGTGACAAGGTTCTTCGACGCTTATCTGCATAACTCTTTTGTCTATCCTGAGCCGCTTTGAGTCTCTCTCGAATCAACTTCACCTTTGATTTGGTGACCTCAACCAACTCAGTACCCTCGAGTTTGGCCATGCCAACCTCGTCCCAGCATAACGGTGTACGACACCTCCTTCCATACAATGCCTCGTATGGAGGCATGCCGATGCTTGCCTGATAACTGTTGTTATAGGCAAACTCCACAAGTGCTAAGTGGTTGTCCCAACTTCCTTGGAACTCCAATGCACTAGCCCTCAGCATGTCTTCTAGGATCTGTATGACTCTTTCAGACTGCCCATCCGTCTGTGGGTGGAAAGCAGTACTGAACTTCAACCTCGTTCCCATAGACTCCTGAAATTTTGGCCAAAAACGTGATGTGAATCGTGGGTCTCTATCAGATACAATGGTCACCGGGACTCCATGCAGCCTCACGATCTCATCCGTATACAATTTGGCTAACCTCTCAAGTGGGTAGGTAGTGTTGATAGGCAAGAAGTGTGCACTCTTTGTGAGCCTATCCACAACGACCCAAACCGCGTCATAGTTCCTGACAGTCCGTGGTAAGCCTACCACGAAATCCATAGTCACGTGCTCCCACTTCCATTCAGGGATGGAGAGTGGTTGCAATAAGCCTGCTGGGTGCTGATGTTCTGCCTTAACTTGTTGACAAGTAAGGCACCGACTGATGTACTCGGCTATTTCCCTCTTCATTCCAGACCACCAGTAACTTTCTTTCAAATCACGGTACATTTTCGTGCCCCCGGGTGCATGGCATAAGACGATGAATGAGCCTCCTCTAAGATGGACTTTCGGAGCTCATCATCTGACGGTACACACACTCGGTCACGAAATAACAAGAGACCATCATCTCTTTCCCTGAAATCCTCCACCGGCCCCGCTTGCATGCGTTCCCGGACCTTCATAAGTTCTTCGTCGGCTTCCTGACCCTTCTTGATCTCATCAAGTAAAGTAGGTCTCACCTCAAATCGTGCCAATAAGGCACCATCGCTGGTTACCTCCAGTTGGGCTCTTAATGCCCTCAAATTAGCTAGCAATGCCCCAGACGAGCTCTTCCGGCTCAAAGCATCTGCCACCACGTTTGCCTTGCCTGGGTGATACTCTATCACTAGATGGTAGTCTTTTATCAGCTCCATCCACCGTCTCTGTCTCATGTTTAGCTCTTTCTGAGTAAACACGTACTTCAAGCTCTTGTGATCAGTGTATATGTGACATGTCTCCCCGTAGAGATAATGTCTCCATATCTTTAGTGCAAACACCACTGCCCCCAGCTCCAAATCATGAGTAGGATAATTCACCTCATGCTTCTTCAATTGTCGTGAAACATAGGCAATTACCCTCCCATTCTGCATCAGTACACATCCAAGCCCTTGGATGCTCGCGTCGCTATAGACATCGTACCCCACACCTTGTTTGGGTAATGCAAGTACCGGTGCCTCAGTCAATCTCTTCTTTAGTTCCATGAACCCTTTCTCACATTTGTCATCCCATACAAACTTAGCTCCTTTACGGGTGAGCTTCGTCAATGGCGATGCCAAAACAGAGAACTTCTCCACGAACTTTCTGTAGTAGCCTGCCAATCCAAGGAAACTACGAATTTCCTTGACGTTCTTTGGCCTCTCCCATTCAGTAATGGCTTCTATCTTCTTGTTATCAACAGCAATTCCCGATCCCGAAACCACGTGCCCGAGAAAGCCGATTTCCTTTAGCCAAAATTCACATTTAGAAAATTTGGCATAAAGTTGCTTCTCCCGTAGTGTCTCAAGAACAAGTATCAAGTGCTCTTCATGCTCTTCTTCACTCTTTGAGTAAATCAAGATGTCATCTATGAACACAATCACGAATCGGTCCAAGTATTTATGAAATACTCGGTTCATCAAGTCCATGAATGCCGCCGGGGCGTTTGTTAGCCCAAACGACATAACAAGGAATTCAAAATGCCCATACCTTGTGCGGAAAGCACTCTTTGGTATGTCATCTTCCTTAATCTTCAATTGATGGTACCCCGACCTCAAGTCAATCTTCGAAAACACGGTTGCCCCTCGTAGTTGGTCAAACAAGTCATCAATTCTAGGCAAAGGATACCTATTCTTGATTGTGACCTTGTTCAGTTGACGATAGTCAATACACATTCGAAGTGTCCCATCTTTCTTTTTCACAAAAAGAACTGGTGCTCCCCACGGGGAGTGGCTTGGTCTAATGAAACCGTTATCCAAAAGCTCTTGCAATTGGGTTTTCAACTCGTTAAGTTCAGCGGGTGCCATACGGTATGGCGGTATGGAGATTGGTTTGGTACCAGGCTTGACCTCGATCACAAATTCAATCTCCCTGTCAGGTGGCAGCCCCGGTAGGTCTTTAGGGAAGACATCCGGATACTTACAAACCACCCTCACATCATCGATGTTCGTTTCCTCCTTGGTTTTGTCAACCACGTATGCTAGATATGCGTGACATCCCTTTCTCATCATACTTATCGCTCTCACGGCGGATATGATACAACTATTTGATCTCCCTCGATCGCCCTCGAAGCGTAGGGTCTCCCCATCATTGCCTTCGAGTTCAAGAACCTTCGTGTAGCAATCTACCCTAGCATGGTTCCTTTCTAGCCAATCCATCCCTAGGATTGCATCGAATTCAATCATGCCCAGCGGTACGAAGTCACACGTCAAGGTTTGACCATTAACCTCCACCCCACAAGATGGATAATAACAAGTTCTTTCCACATCATCTCCTAGTGGTGTTGATACCACTAAGGTTTGCATCAATGGTGCGGATTGCACCCCCAACCTCTTGGCGAACGCTTCATTCACAAATGAACGTTGCGCCCCGGTATCGATAAGGATTCGCGCATCCTTCCCATTAATCTTTAGCGTCCCTACATTCATGAACCATGTAAGACATTTTTCCTACCCTCCCTACTCATTTATAGAAGGTTACAATGTTCACACGCATGTTAGGGATCAAGAAAAGGTCTTAACGTTGCAATACGGCGCGAAAAAGTCGACTTTGGGCTGCCCAGGAGGTACGCACGGCGTGCCTAGGAGGTACGCACGGCGTGCGTGTCTTATAACCTCAAAACGGAGCTACTGCCACCAACGCACGGACCAACGCACGGACAACGCACGTCCGTGCGTATAGCAATTTCTTCCCGGTTGCTACTGCCACCAACGCACGGACCAACGCACGGACAACGCACGGCCGTGCGTATAGCAATTTCTTCCCGGGTTGCTACTGCCACCAACGCACGGACCAACGCACGGACAACGCACGGCCGTGCGTATGGTCCAGCCTGGTGTGCGTTGGCGGAAATCAGCCGCCTTTCGCCCGATTTCGCTCCGTTTGACCCCAAAGCTTCGTGCAATGATCCCAACGACTAGCAACCTCAATTTATGGGCTAATCAAGGGTAAAACATAAGTATACAAAAGGTAATACCTGCAACGGAATCCGGGTTAGCTTGAGCATCCGCCTCCGTCATTGCGTAGACCCTAGCCTGGGTCCTTCCTTGGTTCACGGATGGCACATTACTCGTGCTTGCTCCCCCATGTCCCCGGCTTGCTTGAGAAGCCCCGGGTTGATTCCGTGTACCCGTCGGGCCATTACTTGGTCCCGATGTCCTTGCCCCGCCCAGTTGTGGGCAATGTGCCTTCAAATGCCCGGCATCCCCACATTGAAAGCATCTAGGGGGGTCGCGACATTTACCGGAGTGGTTCTTCTTGCAATTGTTGCAACGAGTCACCACCGAGGTTTGTGACCTCGAGCCTTGCCCACTCGGGCCTTGGTTCCCCCTAGACGGTGGTGGTGGTGCCCGGAAAGATCCTCCTCCATGGTTCCCCTTTTTGTTGGAACCTTGGGAGCCATGACTCTCCCATTTTCTCTTTTTCGCCTCCTCGGCGTCTCTCTTCTTCCGTTCCTCCCACTGTTTCTCCCCTTTCAACGCTTGGTCAACCACTTGGGCGAAAGTCATATTAGGCAATTGCGTTGCCCTATCACGTATCTCCAAGTCAAGAGCGTCCCAAAAGTGGTTTACCATGCGGTTCTCGTCACAAGCATACTCCGGTATGTAGTCGGCGAGATCCCGGAACTTGTACTCCAGCTCCTTCACTGACATGTTACCCCCTTGGGTTAGGAGGGTGTATTCCCTCACCTTCTTATTCACCTCGAAATCAGAATAGTATTGGGCAAAGAACTCCCGTTGGAAGTCCTCCCAAACGACGGTCTCACCGTACTTGTTCTTGGTTCCATCCCACCACTTGGATGCCATCCCCTCGAGCAATCTTACCGCAATTCTCAGTTTGAGATTCGGCGCGATTTGCATGTCAAGGGCTGCTTCATTTAGGCTCTTGATCCATTGTGCTGCCACTGAAATGTCCCCTGCTCCATCAAAGGGTTTGCACCCCAAATCTCTTGCTTCTTTGATGTATTTGGAGATCCTTATGGTTGGACCTCCATCATTTTGGCCTCCACGTGGTTCCACATGGACTCTAGATGCACCATGACTTCCTCCTCGTGAAGCCATGCCCGAAGGTTGCCCAGCCCGGCGCCTTCGGCGTTCCCTCCTCTCTTCACGCTCACGGTGATATTGTTGGAGTAATGCCTCAATCCGCGCTAAGGAGCCGTTGTCCTCCTCATCACTTGCGTCATCGTCATCCCCTTCATAAGGGGTTTCAACCGGCTCTGTTTCCGGCCGATAGGTCGAGTCCTCATAGGACCAGTAGCTCTCGTTTTCGGTGCTCACATGACCGTCGCTCACGGTCTGTGATCGGCCTCCACGGCCAGCTCCTCCAGATGCTCTAGAGGTCCTTCGACTGCCCAGTCCAGTCTCCACTGGTACACGGCCAGTCGGGTTTCTCCTAGTAATCCTGCCACCACGGTCCATTTCTGAAAGAAAATTTGGAAAGAGTCGTTAGACTCGTATCAAATGTCAATTGACGGATAGGTACTCAAGACACTACTTGGCTCAAATTGCTGCCATACCAATTGCTAAGGGTATCATCTTAACAATTAGAGACCTTGCAACTCAAGTACCAAAAGTTCTTCAAGTACAAAACGTTTATGCTCATGGTTTTAGAAATCATTTTGAAAAGAGAATTTCGAGACTTCATTATGAAGTTTATGGACTAAGGCTCTGATACCAACTTAATTGTCACGCCCCGGACCTATCCGGACACGTCAACAACCCACCGTACAATATGAATAGTCAACCGCAGTCCAACACATTCATATTATACAAGGCGTCTTGAATATCATTCACACATATACATCCATAAACAAACATAATAAGTAATTCATAACGCAGCGGAAAACATTATTTAAAACAAAAGAGCCACACAGGGCTGTTCATGAGCACGCAGGCTCTATAGTAAAATATCCATGAGCAAATTTAATAATGTTTCAAATAGAACGGAGGAAGCACGAACCAAGTCTTCTCTCCGAGGAATCGCCCGATCAACGAGCACAGGATGCAAGCTCTAGCCTCAACCTGAAATGGTGGTGGGACGCCCCCGAAGGGGTCAGTACTCTATACGGCTATAAAGTACTGGTGTGGCAGGCATCTAATAGATATACAACAAGTATTTCAAACACAAGACCCTCAAATAGGGTGATAGTACATTATGATTGTAACCCTGAGTTACCCCGTTTAAAAATTATACTTACTTTATATAAAAGTCAAGTAGTCGGCCCGTGGGCCCATGTTCATTTGGAAATCACCATTCCCAACCCCGTGACTATAAGCCACGACAACTCCTAGAGTCCAACCCTAGTATATGACATTGTATTCTAGAGCTCGGCTCTACCACATCACCATACAATCCATATACCTCGGGTCAATTTCCTTACCTTGCGTTCTAGAGCTCGGCTCTATCACATCACCACGCAAGCCCTAGAGCTCGGCTCTAGCTATACAATACATAGACTCCAAGTCTACACCTTACATGCATTCTAGAGCTCGGCTCTATCACATCACCATGCATTAAGGTCCAATTCTCAAGCAACCCTATGCCTAGAATTGACATATCATTATCCTACCATGGGTCATTCTTAAAGACTTCCCATAACTTAACCTTAGTTCCATACTAGGTTATTATCTACACTTGAACTATATTCAAGTATCTTTCATACAATCCAATCCCTAGGATCAATTTAATTCACAAGTCCCAATAGTCACTAACTAGTATTCCAATACTATTAAGATTATTGGTATCATACCATTATCCTCATTATTGTAATTCTCTACATATTTATAATTATGTAGCAGCAACTTAAGCATTCAATTTCAATACACAAATATTCATTTATGTATCCACATAATTCATACATGAGTAAAATACCCATTTTCACAAAATGGTTCTTTTATACTCATTTAATCTCATATTATTCATACCTTCTCAAATCATTTCAAATTTCATTCTTTGGCAACTATATCAATATTTCATCAATATATAATCATCATAATCCATGAAAAATCATGATTTAAGCATTTAGGTAATCTCATGCTTAACCTACAAGTTGTAAGCAATTAGATGTCAATCCTCACCTCAATTGAGCTTTAAACTTTCCCTTCTTGGTCCAATGGTCAAAGCTTCGGTCAAGGTGGATTTGGAACTGATTCCTTGCTCAAATATGAGTGTTAAACAGCCTCTTCAAGGTGCTAGCTCAACCCCTAAACGTTGGTACGAAAACAGCCCCTAGAATGGGTGTTTTCCGGCTAACTCGTTTCCTAGTTTTCCAAGATTTGTTCTAGGTTAGTATCTAACCTTTACATCAATAAAATAACTTAATAGGGACATATTATACACTTGGAGTAGTGTATAATAGTTCCACCAATCGTTCATATCATTTGGAAAATGAATGGAAAGGTTTTGGGATTAACAACTCACTTAGAAGAGTAAATCCGTTCCTGCAAGGTCGCGTTCTGTTCGGACGATTTGGAAGCCTTACTCTACTCCGATTGATGCAAACCAGACCTTCACGGATTCCTCGTCTTGAGAGATTTCTTTTGGTATCTCACACGCCTTAATTGGATTGGTAAAACGCGAGATATCGACCAAACAGTCTCAGCACTCTCACAGCTCGAGTTCACAGACCTCTGCTCGTTCCAGATCGATTTTTGGATGATTGCTCTCTCCTCTCGAACTGTGGCCACTCAAATATGAAAATAGACTTCAAAATCTATCCAAAGACACCTTATACACCCCATTTGGACAAGTACAACTCTCAAAATGAAGGGAGACAAAACAGCACACCTGTTTGTGCGAAAACAGTGGTGGTGGCCCCAAAATTTGATCCCAATTGTGTCATGGGCAATGCTTCTCCATGTGGTGCGGCCAAGGTGAGTCTCCTCACATATTTTCCTTGTCTTGCAGGTACTCAAGCCACATGGGATGCCCCCCAATTAATCCCAATCAATTTGGGGTCCAAAATATCTACCAATACTTCCAAAAATGGGAAGATGGGTCCTATTGTTTTATCTTTGTCAAAGATGTCTTTTTGTACTCATCCTAATTTATTTAGAACAAGTCAACTTCCTAAATCACATTATTGACCTCCAATATGTGTAGGCTCATCCCAATAATTTACTTGATGGATGTTATAGAAGGAAAATCCTACTCCCATTATTTAGCTCAAAAATGCCAAAGATGGGGTTATAGGCATTTGTATTCTTCTTTAATCCTTCGATCACTTATATAAATAATGTTGGGCTCTTTTATTTATTAATAAGTCCCGAGTAAGTATTTGCGAAACCCGACACTAATGTACGAGTTTGAACAGTACAATATTCAACCATGCACTACGTAGAACATTGATCGTTTTACAAAATGTTTGGGAATCAGAAATCCAATACATAAGCTTTGAATATTCAAATCAAATTTCCAAGGACATTCGGGTGCGGTGTCACAAGTATCTTGTTCACCAACTATGCCTTCATTCTGATCATCAGTGATTGTGTCACTAACCATATATTCATGACGTTCATTGGTGTTCGAGTTACTATTGATACGTCCGACATGTGGGAACGTGGCATTATCTTTTTGTTCTTGAATGACCACATTCTGTGGTTCACCACTCCCACTAATTTGACCATTTTCTATGAACCAAGCATTGCTAAACTGCTATGACTTTTCATGAATTTTGCAAATGGACCACATTTCCCATAATACTCACCACCTCTATCAGACCTCACAACCTTAACTTTCTTTTCTAGCTGCCTTTCCACCTTGTTGACAAACGCTGCTAGGGTGTCTGCCGACTGGGCCTTATCATGCAGTAGATAGATGTAACCATAACGTGAGTAGTCATCCCTAAAGGTGATAAAGTACTTTTATCCACCCCAAGAAGGAACATCAAAAGGACCATAAATATCAGTGTGTATAAGCTCTAACAATTGAGTGCTACTTGTGGACGCCTTCTTTACTGTGTGTTTGGTTTGGTTTTCTTTAATGCAATCAATACACATCCCAGTTACTAAATTCCAATTGAGCTAAAATTTGATTCTTAACTAACCTCATTAGCCTATCTTTGGAAATATGACCGAGATGTTGGTGCCACAAGAAAACTAAGTCTTCATTTAGTGCACTACGCTTACTGTCACAATATTTTAAATGTTAAATAGAGATTCAGTAAATTTCAAATCAAGTTTAAAACTATATAGGGAATCAACCAACACACCAGATTCATATATAAAATTATCCTTAAATAATGAAAAGGTATTGTTCCCAAACTTGATATGAAATCCTAAAACATCCAACATACTATTGAAACAGGATTTCTAGCACAATCAGATACATAAAGACAATTATCTAGATCTAAAAGACATGTTCATGTAGTGTCTAAGATCAATCTATAGGTCCTTATGTCTTCGAAGCGTGCCTTCATCTTGTTCCCCATAAATAGAAATTGTTCATTTCCCCTTATTGGTTAGATTGATTTGAAGCCCTGCATAACATGAGAAACATGAGTTAAGCACCAGAATCTAATTACAAAGTGTTATTAGGCCCTTCTATAAGATTTGATTCGAAACACACGAAACTAAAATGTGTACCTTTATTTTCGAACCAAGCCTTCCTTTTAGGACAATTATTCTTAATATGTCCCTCTTTCTTACAGAAGTAGCATGTAGCGGCCTTGGTGACCTTGCTAGACTCAACCTTCATGGGATTTTCCCCTTTTTTCTTACCTTTCTTGCTCGACTTGACCTTATGGACACTAGGTCCATCATGAAATGAAAAATGAGCAGTGTGATACCTAACATTCTTTAATCTAGTAGCCTCCTCCCTTAGTAAATTCCTGAGTTGGAAAAAGTTCCACTTGTCCTAAGTTCCATTTGTTCTTAAGAGTATTGTAATTAACTTGAAACTGACCAAACTCTACTGGAAGAGAATTTACTACGAAGTGAACTAGCCATGGATCATCAACAGGCATGCCCATATTGGTCAAATCTGATGCGAGATTAGCCATCTTATCGCAATAATCATTCATGGACATAGACCAGTCAAATTTGGCATTAGTAAACTCACTCATCAAGTTACTAACGATGGACTTATCCACCAAATCTGATTGTGAGCTCTTCTTGATTTCTGACATGAACTCCTTAGCATCCTCGGTCTTAGGCATAGTAGGCTTGATGTTAGCTTCCATGGTCATCTTCATAAGACACAAGCTCAACCTATTAGACCGATCCCCCGCTTCAAAGTTGGACCTCTCATTATCTGTGCTAGTCGCAGAAATAGGTGTAGGCTTTTCTTTCACTATTAAGGCGAAATCCAAGTCTACCACCCCGAGATAAAAGTTGATTTGCTCAGACCATTTGGAAATCTTAAGTCCATTGTACTTAACTAAAGCGTTTGTGGAAGCTAGAAGACTAAACGAAGCTGCAATCGTATACATGCTTACTATTAATGTTTTGAATTAACTAATACAGATTCATTCTTTAGAAAACCTAAACATATCTGCTTAAATTCACCTTTGGGTGATCCTTAAATATATACAAAACATGATGCCAAATAATATACAAAACTAGACATTTAATTATACACGATTAAATGAGTGTTGTCTTTGGACATAAACCCAATTTAATCTAAGTATAAAAATTAGTCTCTTAAATTGCAATAGATTATACATGCATGATCCACCTTTTTGGTGATCTTATAGCAATATAATCTAAATGCATTATTTTATATTATTTAGCATCCTAAATTTATGAAAAATCGATTTTACCTTTCAGATTTATTTGTCTAATAACTCTTGGTCAGGCCACTTTGGTGACTAACAAGCATTATATTTAAGGAAAACTATCAAAAAAGCCCCCGTACTATACCGAAAAAGTCGATTAGGCCCTCGTACTTTACAAACACTCAATTAAGTCCTCAAACTATTAAAAAACGTTCAATTAAGCCCTTTCAGTCGGTAAGTAACCGGTTTCCGGTTAAATGTAACCCGTTTCCCGGCAGCCGCCGTTGTTGGGGTTCGAGCTCATCGTCGCCGTCGCCGCCGTTTAACCGGGAAACCCTTTACTTAAGAGCTATGTACGCAATAAAAGTCGTCCAGAAGGTTCATCGAAATGCAGAAAATACAGCTCAACAAAAATGGAGGCATCGAGTTGGTCCAATAAGCTTTGCTCGTATAAGGGAAAGATTGGTATTCCAATTTCTAAATTCTGAAATAAGATATTTGTTTGTTAAACTGCAGCATGTTATTCATCTTATTACTTCCCTATATAGCATGCAAAAAAGCAAAACAAAGAATCCCCTACTCGAGCTGAAGTGTTTATTGAAACCCGACAAGTTAAGAAAGGCAAAAAGTTGGATCATGAAACAAATGGTGCAATTGTAAGTTTTACTCAGCCTTTTTTTTGCAAGGTCAGCCGTTTTATCTCTTTCAAATAATGATCAAAATGATTTATTACTTTGGACTTTCAAATATGCTAGATAAATCTTCAAGATTTGATTGTAAATTCTGGAAAGTCTTCGGAAGAAGCGTTTCAGAGTGTGTTTGGAAATGAGAAACCAGGGAGAGTGCGATGCTATGGAAGAACTACAACACGTTCTCTCTTGAAAAAAAGGAAGAATTGGCAGAAATAGAAAAAAAGCATGCCAATGAGGTGAAAATATCAAATGATAAAATTCAAGAGTTAGAGGAAAAATGTGCAAGACAAATGGCAGCATCAGAGGAAAAAAATCGCCAGGAGATGACATCAATGGAGCAAAAATTCCAGTTTCTTCTAACCATGCTAAATCCTAACAAGTCTAAAATTGATTTGGACTCCTTTGCTGCTTTTCTATCAACAACGACCAACAAAAACAATGAAGTAAGATTTCCTTTGACTTTAAAGAATCTTCTATTTTACAGTTTTTAAAATTGTAAGTTAATTTTTTATTTCAGAGTTTTTTTCACTAAAGGAAAATCCACGTTTCATAGCTTCCTATGCCTGTTTTCCCTATCCTAAGGGGAAATTCTTTCAAATTGACCATGAAAAGGAAAACTCCTCAGTGTGATTGAAGAAAACATTTTTAAACTTTACTATGTTTGTGTTCTTTAATTTCCGATATGATTATCCTTGTAAGGTCCCAACAATCAGTTCTCTGGTAACCATTATGGGTACTTGGGTCAAGTCTTGCCGGGTAAATTCTTTTATGGGTACTTCAGGGAAATTGGACCAACATTGTAATAGTCTCATGTGTTTGTCTTGTAAATGGAACATGTTGTATATCTCATGCATTCTTCACTAATTGATGAAGCTTTTCTCAAGCCCATGTCCTTTATTCTTACCGGTCATCAGAGTGAGGATCATAATTATGTCTTATTGGGTGTACATTATTAGTGAAGCTTGGTCTCGATTTGTGTTTGATTGGACACTTATTTTAATGAAATCTTTTTAAGTTCATTTTCCTTGCCTGACTTGATTTAGAGTATAGACCTCATGCATCTCTTATGATGGAAATCCTGAACTCTTATATTTATAGTAAATGCATTAGGTTTGCAATTACCTGGCTATATGTTTTTTTAAATTGATGAGATTAACTCAATAAAAAATTAGATGTGCTGAAGCTTTCTTCCTTCTATTCGAGTTTTGACTCGTTTTGCGATTAATAGGCATACACTTCTCCCCTTGCTCTTTAAAAACGATATTTGCTCATACTTGTTGATATGCATTCCAGATTTGCCTATGTAACTTTCATTTTAGGTGCTAAC